TATATATATATATATATATATATATAATGTACATGATTATACACAGGAAGATAAATTCAAACTTTACACACAAGAACGGCATATGAAATTCTACAAACCACTATACCACGACAGGTACTTAATATCTTCTAAGCCATCGAATCTAACGTCTTGATCAAAACAAGGTATACTATTCAGCTCGGCACCAAATTTGATATGCCCAAACCGAGATGCAAGAACATAGACAAATCACACCAAAACAAAAATCTGACGATCAACGATTCAAATCGATAACATACTTCTCACGTTCGTCATTCCACCGCTTAAACTACATGCAAGCTTAAAAGAACAGTTTCAACGATAGTACTTGCACTGGTGAATACTTGACATCCGAAAAAAAAACAAGTACCTAAAGCAAACTACGCGGATAAACTACGGGGATACGCACCTGTATGTGAGATACTCCTTCGAATCGGTAGCCTTGGATGTAGTATAGGTAAGTATGGTTCGACCACTGGCTGTCGCCTACATCAAGAAGAAAAAATTACCCATGAGCATTCGATCGAAAAATACACCATATATGACTGTAAAACATATACCTTGATATAATGCTAGCATGACATGCTCGCCAACGATATGTGAAGAGGTGGCATTATATCTCCCAAAAAGACCGTATATATATATATATATATATATGTGTGTGTGTATATATATATGTGTGTGTATAAATGTGTATGTATGTATGTATGTGTGTGTACATATATCAAGTGTTGAGACGTAGTAGCAATGACAAGAAGGTTGTCGCAAAAAAAAAATTCGAAGCTGCTGCACTCACAACAAGAACTGGAACTCCACACAAATACAAGCATACCAGAATTCCTGACTTTCCAAGACTGTCGAAAGGGTGTAGCTTTGCCCATACACTCCTTGCTGTCAGCCGTTGTATCGGCCACAAGCGTCATCTGTGGTGGGTTCATCTGCTGCTGATAAGTCTGTACGTTACCGCTGTCGTAGTAACTCGTGATCGCTGCTTCGAGGTTCCAATTGTTCGCCTCTAAAAAAAACCGACATGACTCGCCACTCGGGCTGTTCACAACAGCCTGTTATGGTTGGTAAAAGAATAGAACCAAAGAAAAAAGATGTCAGAAGCAGGTTTAAGCATAATATAACACAACTAGAACTTCCATCTCTATTGAAGACCGACAACTATCATACGTCA